GTAGTTGGGAACTGTACGAATATCCAGCGCTGCCTGCAAACACAAATCACGTCTGGACAGTTAAAACGACAAATCAGTTGGAGAAACCACGCTACGTCATCTTAGCCTTCCAAACCAATCGAAAAAATGAACCAAACTCTAACGCTAGTATATTTGATCATTGTAACATCAGAAATGTAAAACTGTACCTCAACTCTCAGTGCTATCCATACGGTAACCTCAACATTGATTTCAGTAAAAACCAGTACGCAATGTTGTACGATATGTATGCCAATTTTCAAAATGTATACTACGGTAAGGATGCCGAACCGATGCTCAAAAAATTCGAATATAAAAATTACATGCCACTCGTAGTGATTGACTGTTCGAAACAAAACGAATCATTAAAGACTGCTCAGTAGATGTGCGCTTGGAGTTCGAAACCAGAGAAAATATTCCCGAAGGAACTACAGCATATTGTCTTATTCTACATGATCGTATCGTTCAGTATAATCCGATAAATGGAGATGTGAAGAAACTTATTTAGGAGAGGGGGGGAAGGGTATTAAAGAATTGACTCTTTCCTTAAGCAGCTCAGTAGTAGCTTTCTATCGCAATGAAGTACGTAGTGGATATGCAAGGCTTCATGATGCCTGGCAAAACTGTGAAAGAGTTAGCGATATTTCCACTTAACTACAACGAAGAACCGCTCGTACGCTTGTTCAAACCTCCCTTTCCATGGCGAAGACTAACGGAGAAATATAAGAGAGAAAATCTCTGGTTAGAACTCTACTATCACGGATGAACATGGAACTCTGGCGATTATAAATACGAAGAGCATAAATTCATCATCACAGATACACTCAGAGATGCCACAAAAATTTTCGTTTCCGGAGATTTGAAAAAAGAGTGGTTGGAACGATATGTCCTCAAAGTTTTCGATTTGAATGATTGGGGCTATTCGCCTTTCGAAAAAATTAAAATCAGCTACCGTGTGCCCTAATTAAAACGGCAAATACGTAACGACATGTTCACATCAAAACGTTAAATTAATGAAAAAGTTTTATATCGATGGCTGTTGTAAGGATTGGGAAGAGAGCAATGAAGTCGTTGAAGGATTTCTATAGTGATTTTATTTTTTAAGTAATTACTTTGTAGAATAATATGTATTTTTTAAGAACATGTAGAATAAGATATATTTTTTATCAATAAAAAAAATTTTTGTTTCAATTGATACAAAAAAATATTCTTTTATTTCTGTATTAAACCATCCAAAAAAGCGAAATTCTTCGTTGACTCTGACGATGACAGCCGCAGTAGCAGTTTATCTTTTTATAATAAATTTTGTATTTTTTTATCAACACAAAAATTTATACAACATAGAATTTAGACGAAAAAAATGTTTATTTATTACTTGAGGTGGTGTACATTGATGACATGTATAAATATGATTATTATTTCTTCTTTTCGTTATTGAACTGCTGATAGCCTTTTTGTTCAGGAAAATTTTTAGTATTGACCGAAAATTTGGAAATACTTTGTTTCCATGTCGATGATTCTTTGTTCTTCTTTTCGTCCGGGTCTTCCTGTGGAAGACGAGAGTACTTTACTTTAGAGTAGCGATCCATTTTATTGGAATGCTGGTTGATGAAAGATTCGATAATTCTTACACTGTGCTATTTATAGTAGCTTACAACCACGAAGTCTACAAATAAAAGAAAGTAAGGTTCTTGCACGTTTTTTCTATTAAACCATCTTCGGTAGATGAGACACGCATGCACGCACACACGCGCGCACGCGCACATTGAATAGCAAAAAAAAATTATTCGTTATAGACCATTTATAATAAATATTTATGTATAATATTTATTATAATTAGTATATTTATTATAATTTATTATCATTTGTATGTATTAGCGCTTGGGCCCTCTCCAGCAGCAGCCGCCGGCGCCGACGCCGCCAACCCCCACATATCAATCGTGTAGCTAGTACACACAATACGGTATTTGCCCGTAGTAACAGTGGCTGTAGCTCTAGCGGTAGAGCATCGGCCTGCGGATCCGGAGGACGCGCGTTCGATCCCCCAATCCGTCCGTTTTTTTTTCAGATAAATCTAAAAATTTTTAACACACGCGCGCACACACGCGCGCGCGCACACACGCACGCACGCACACGCACGCACACACACACACACACACACAATAAAAAAATCAAAACTCGTAACACAGAACGCGCGCGTAGTGCATAGGAATCAAATCAGTGGGAGAGGGGGAAGTGCAGAGAACGCACGCCACATCAGATCAAGTCACATCAGATCAACTCAGTAGGGGAGGGGGAGTGCGTAGAAGGCACCGATATAACTCAGTAGGAGGAGGGGGAGGTGACGCGCGCAGTGCATAAGAATCAAATCAGTAGGCTGGGAGAGGGGGAAGAACGCACGCCACATCAGATCAACTCAGTAGGGATGGGAGGGGGAGTGCGTAGAATGCACCGGTATAACTTAGTAGGAGGGGGGGGAGGTGAGTCGACAGCGCACGGGACGATCAGCAGGGGGGGGTGAGGTGGACATGCACACACTTCAACTCATACGCTTCAACTCAGTGAGCTGATACCCCTCTGAGTTGAGGCCCCTCTAGTTAACCTACTGAAAGTTATCTATAATTTATATAAATTTTTCATGACTAGCATTTAACGTATAAATTACTTATAACATTGTACTATTATTTTAAGTCTATCATTACTTCCGAAACTCTATACGTATCTCAAAATTGTAATTGTCATAATTGTGATACTATATTCAATTTTGTATAATGATTGTGAAGAGTAGATTATTTATTTTAATGTAATAATTGCTATGCTATAAAGTAAACTTACTATTTAATAAGTTATGTAAAGCCTCTAAAAGTAATTTACAGCATTCGGGCCGTTTTTGGATAGATTTCACTACTTTCAAAATTTTAAAAACAATATTGAAACAAATTCTATACAACCAGTTATTAAAACATGAAGTCAAACTGAAAAAAATAATGTTAAAGTACAAAAAATTAATAGAGCTAAATCATTAAAGTAATTTATTACTTGGTAGACATTTTTATGGTATTTTAATAAGATTAATAATAAATGAAATAAAATAATAAAATAATGTATTTCAAAAGAAACCATTCATGCAACTTTTTACTTTGTTAAAAGTGTTTTGTTGTAGATTTCATTTATTTCAAAGTAAGCTATAGTTATTTTTTTTTTTTTTTTTTTTTTTTTTTTTTTTTTTTTTTTTTTTTTAACGTCGCTCTATTTATGCTCCATCAGTGCTAATTAGCGACGGAGGCTTGCAATGTGTTTGAGAACAAAGCACATGAAACTTTTTTCAGAGGTGCTTGTATCAGCAGGAACTGGGAATCGAACCCGGGCCTACCGGGTGCGAGTCCGTCGCCCTACCGACCGAGCCATTGCAGGCCTCCTATAGTTATTTTAATATTGCAAAAGTATTGATGCAACTTTTTACTTTCAACACTTCATTAGATAATAGTCACCTCTAATATATATTTCTAACTTAATAAATTCTAATTTCATTTTTTAATTGCATTTTGTACATACGACAAAGTAAGCTCCATAGTTATTTTAAAAAAGATAAAATTAGTTAATAAAAGCTAGTTTTCTGCTACAATAAGAAACTTTTAAATACGCTTAATTTAATTTAATGTTTGTAAATACGTCGAGATATTTCTGAAATTCAAATTAAATTATATTACTTTTTCAAATTTTATAGTTTAGAACAATCGTGATTGTGGATTGTTGGATCATATGGAAAGAAATATATTAATGAATAAATAATAACTATATTATAGGTCAATGTCTATTTTTAGACACTTTAACTTGTTCTAAAAATGTTATATAAATATCTTTTGAGCCTTTAGGCTATGGTTTTTTAACGATAGTAGAATTTGAAACATGAAATCAGTTAGTATGTTCGCGTAGTACATTGAAATACTCTCCATACTCAAAATTTCGTCCTGAATAAAAAATGGCATTTATTACTCTAAAACATTTTTTATCGATAAAAAGTTTCGTCTTTGGTACTTCATTAATCTTAAATCCAGTTAATTTATTTTTATCTGAAAACAGTGATAATTTAACTATTAAAATCTTTTCAGATTCAATACGTAGAGATACTTTTTCTTGTTTCTCATATTTACAATTATTATGACAATGTTCTTGAATATCTCGCCAAACATTAATATTTTCATCAAAAATTTGCTGCAATGTACATGTTACATTGCTTTCTAAATTTAAGGACAAAGTTAAAATATAATTACGTGTTGTAATAGGATCAGGTCTAAAATCACATCCCGGGCATCTTGTCCCAATTGTGATTTCATGTTCTGTAAGTTTTCCTATTATTTCAAACTTCGTACATATATCTGACAAATAATCTGCAGCATCTTTTTGAATAAATAATGTATATTTGTCAGTATCAAGAAAATTTTAAAGCGGTACTAAATCAATCGAAGTTTTGTTAACATATTTATTGAATATTTGTAAAAGTATATCTTGATGCTTACATTCAAGCAAACTTTTTCTGATTAAATGACAATGAAATAAACTATGTACGCACGATTTAGCGTAAGATAAGCTATTTTTGCAAAGTATCGGTTGAATGAAATCATTCAATGGACGTTAAAGAATATTATTATTATTATCAGCTTGAATCTGCAGTGTATAACGTGAAACAGACCATATATTGTCAAATATTTTGTTATTTTTATATGTATCGTTATGTGGTGTATTATTATAAATGTCAAGATCTGAGCGATATTGTTTCCTTAATCTATTATATTCTCTTATAGCTGATTCATCAGCTTTTATACTAGAAGGATCAAAATTAATTAAATGCAAACCTTCTAATTTAATAATTCTAGATAATGCTACATAAGTTTAACCACAAGTAAAAATGTTGTTTCCTGCTTCTACAACAGCATTGTCCAAACTTAAACTGTGACTTTTATGGATAGTGATAGCATAACTCAGGCAGATTGTTGTCTTGTAATATATATCTGTTCCATTATTTGGAATTGGTATTCTAATCGTTTGATACAATATTCTTGTTGATTTGACTGAAGTTTTATGGTAACGCTGTCTATACCGGTTTTTCCTTTGCTTACTGCAAGGACTGTTGCTATAGTGCCATTAACTAATCCAATAGACACATCGATATTCCTTCGTATCATAATTTTGCAGCCTATTTTGATTGTAATAACTCGAGAAATACCACATACATTGTCATCGTCATCATTTAAGATTTTCAAAACGCGTTTTTCTAATCTTTTCGGGCATTTATAACAATCATTAGCAAACAGCTTTATCTCTTCCGACTCAAGTTTATTCAGCATGGTATTATTAAGTATTGTACATATATCTTTAGTCGGCATGAGACAAACTGTATTGCTTGGTAAATTATTGAAATATTCACATAATTCCTGAAGAGAGACTGAAGGAGTATTAGTTGAAAAATGAATCTTTCTTTTTTGTAAAGCTTCTATATCAGAATTGGTTAAATAACCTAATCTTATTCTTGTCAGAATGTCTGAATAAATGTTATCGTTTTTTTGTCTCATATTTATAGTGAGTTCGTCGTAATTGAACAATGTCCATAAATTAAAAGACATTATGCCTTTAATATATTTATCAATTTGTGATCTAGTTATTGCAACGAATGGAAAATCTTCCCGTACAGGTGGTAGTTGAAGTAAATCACCAAATACTACAATATGTATCTTACCAAACCATCCGTCTTCTTTGTCTGATGTACAAAATATTTCTGCAAGTTGTAAATGAATATACATGAGCGTTATATTTGATATCATGGAAATTTCATCAATGATGATAAAATCAACATCTTTTAAACTTTGCCGTATTCTTTTCAGCGAATTATCTGACAAAGGTTTATATTTTGCCGTGCCTCCTTGCTCTACAGGTAATTGCAACAATCTATGGATTGTAAGTCCCTGAATATTATATGCTGCAATACCAGTCGGAGCAGCCACAGCAGTATTTTTATTTCTCTTTACTTTGTTCCATAAAACCAAATTTTCAATCACGTAACTTTTACCCGTACCTCCAAATCCGCTTACAAACATTCTTAATACTTTATTGCTAGATATTGTACAAGTAATTGTATTGAATATACGTAATTGATCAATATTGAAATTTGTAATAGATTGTTCTATGTCAACTTCGTTTTTGTTTTCCGTAACTTTTTCAATTAAATCTTGAACATCTTTAATAACTTGGATTGCATCAAGAGGATCAGCATTATTCAGATGTTCTGATTGTTGGGTTAAGGTCTTAGCCAATTCTTGTTGCTCGATTAATTTATTGGCCTCATCCATAGCATTTTGAGTCATTATTGAAGTGCTGCAGATAAATCATCTTTTATTTCAATAAAAGCATTATAATATGTATCTTGATTCGCTTTCAGTTCCTCAGTTTTTCTCTCGATTTAAATAATATAAGTATGGAAAAATAATACGCTTCAGGTTGCGTTTGAGGATTGTACTTTATATGAAGAATTAAATGAGCTCGTTTCCTTCTTTTGCAATATAAGTTTTCACCCATCTTGTAATATTCAGCTTTATGAATTGGCTTTTTTTTCCATATATCGAAAAACCTCGCAAAATCGTATAAACACATAGTTTCTAATTCTTTAGGGCGCTTTGGATAATATGTATCCACTAAATTATCACAAAAGATTTCAGTTGAATCTGCAGGTAATTGCTTCACTTCATTGTATGATTTTAATTTTCTCTTTTTCTGAAAACCAACATCGACCTATAGAAAAGTAATATTTGGATCAGTTTCATGAAGTGGGTGAGCCAATAAAGTATCGGCAGCTTCAATAGCTCCATATTCTCGGTGAGTAAGTCCGCGCATACCAATGGTCCAAAGTCTACTACAAAGAGACTTATTTAATGCTATTTCAGAAAGATCAAGATTACTTTTTTCACCTTTTGTTCCATAACATGTAACGTAATGCGTCAGAAGATATGTAGATTCAGCAATAAATTGAGCATCGGTGTTTCCTTCCTATAAAATTATTATGGCAGGAATGTAATCATTTGTATACAGTTCATTAAAATCTTGAGGTAAATCATAAAGCCTACTATTATTTTTCAACTTTCTGCGATTTGTTATAGCCGTAATAACAGTATGTAAAATAAAATCTTTTGTTACGTTTCAAGGAAATTCTAAACGACAAGCGCTTATAAAACCACTACATGTTTTTCTTTTACGCATACAATAGTCATTATGTTTATGTTGTTGATATTCCATAATTTTACGGTGTATATCAGGAGATGTATATTTATTCGGTATGCGACACGTAATATATTGCAATATAAATTTTTTTACATCTTCATTCGAAGATATACCATATACTGGAGCACCTTTTATTCAGGAAATACAATGAAAATGAGGCAATCCTCGATTTTGATATTCATGAACATAATAATAGTGATCAATTGTTCCTATAGGCTTTGCATCAGAATGAAAATAAGCCATCATAGCTTTACATTTTTTTTCAATGAAAATTGCAGCTGGAACAGGATAGTCAACGATAAGTTGACTATTAGATCTACTATCGTTATCTAATGATTGATAATCTCGTATAAATTCACCTAAATCTGGCCAGATCCATTCTGTCGGACTCAACGTTAAGAAAAATGTGACAGGGCCATATTCTTGCGCCATACAGTTCAGTTCTCATCTTGGTCTTCGCCAATATGCTTCAGTTCCTCTTACACGAGAAAATATTGAATAAAGATTTGATTCCAAACCATTGTCATTTAATTGTTGTATATAATTTCCGGCAGTAGAGGTTAGATTTCACTCGAGGGGAGTGTGGACGTGTCTTGGATGTGAGCGCGAGTTTTGGTGATAAAGTCAAAGAGGAAAAGTGTTTGAGGAGAGAAATAGAGGTGAAAAGAGCGTGGAGGTGGAGGAGGAGTGGAGAAGAGAGAGAGAGGCCTGGAGAAGAGCAGGAAAAAGCAGAGAGAAAGGAATAAAGAAAAAAATAAAAGTTAAGGTTAAGAGAAAAAATCAGAAAGCGGGAAAGGCAGGCAGAGAGGAGGGGCGGTAAGAAGTAAAGGCAGAGACAGAAAAGGTAAGACAGGGAATAAAGGTGGGATCACGGGTAGATTTAGAGAGTCGAATTAAGGCGTACGGGATAGTGATGGAAAGATTTGTGACAACAGAAAAATTAAGAGATAAAGGTGGAAGGTTGGATAAGAAAGGCCCAGAGGAGGAAAAGAAGAAAAGAGTAAAGGTGGTGAGGGGGAGAGAGAGCGGGGAGGGGCTGAGGGAGAATAATAGAGGAGAAATGAGAGAGGCAAAGAGATGCAAGAGTGAGAGCGAGGGAAGCGAGATGGATGGGGAGGGGAGAGAGGGATTGGACAACACGTTAAGAGAAGTGGGAAAAAGTAGTGGTGCAGGAGAAATAATGGAAAAGATACGGACAGACATAAGGGAATTAAGAGAGGTATGGGAGGAGGAAAGGAAAGAATGGACAGAAATGTTTAAAGAAATAATGGGAAAAATCGAAAGAATGGAGGCAGAGGGGAAAAGAAGAGAAGAAAGGTGGGAGAAGGAAATAGGAAAAGTTAGGAAAGAACAAGAGAGAGAGAGAGAAGAAAGAAAGAAAGAGACGAAAGAAGAAAGGGAAAAAGCAGAACGTAGAGAAAAGAAACTGCAGGAAAAATGAGGAGAGAGGATGGACCAGTTGGAAGAGGAGTGTGTAAAACTAAAAGAAAGCATAGAAGGAGGAAATAAGAAGCAAAGAGGAACAGACGTAGGCAATAAGGAAGAATTAGAGCATATGAGAGAAAAAATGGATAGAGAAAGTAGGATAAACAATATAATAGTAACAGACTTAGAGGGTGAGTTAAGATGGGAAAAGAAGGGAGAGGCAGAGGTTTGGTTAAGGGAGGTACTAGAAATGAAAGGAGAGATAGTGAATCTGAGAAGAATAGGAGGAACAGCGGAGAGAGATGATCGGAGAGAAAGAAGAAAAAACATGTGGCAAATTAGATGCGCGTCATGGGAACAAAAAGAAGGAATTATGAAGAAGAAAAAGAATCTGGCATAGAAAAAGATATACATAGATCAGGACTGGACGTGGAAGCAGAGAAAGATAAGAGAGGAAGTAAGAAGGAAAGCGAAAGAAATAAGAAATAAAGGTAAAGAGGTAAAGATGTGGCATAACAGGGTGAAATCAGAGGAAGAAGAATGGTGTTGGAGCGAGAGAGAGGGAAAAATGGTAGGAAAAGGGGTGGAAGGGTTTCGAAAACAATAGGGATAAAAGAAAGAGAGAGAAGAGAAGGGAGAGAGAGGGGAGAAAGGCAGTAAAAATACTATTCTGGAATGTGGCAGGGATGAGGAGCATGGAGGAAGACGACTGGGAATATGTTAGGGAATTCGACATAATAGGGCTAACGGAAACCTGGGTGAAGAGGCAAGGGGCAAGAACTGGTGTAGAGAAACAACTGAAAGGGTACAGCATAGAGTGGAGGGACTCAAGAAGAGAAGGAAGAAGGGGGAGAGAAATAGGGGGAGGAATAATGGCAGTAAGAGAGAGGGAAGGGATGAATAAGGTAGAATGGAAGAAAGAAAGGACAAGTGAGGTAATAGTAGGAGAAATAAAGATCGGAGGGAGGGAATACATGATAGCATTGGTGTATATGCAACACGAGAAGAAGGAAAACTATGAATACCTAATGAAGAGATAGAGGAAAATAGAGGAACAATAATTATAGGAGGAGACTTCAACGCAAGAACAGGAAACGAAGGAAGGGAATGGGAGACAGAAGAAAACCTAGAAAAAATTAAGGCCAAGGATAAAGTGTTAAACGCAGAGAGAGAAGAAATGATAAAATGGCTAGGAGAAATGGGCTTAGTGATAACGAATGGGAGAAAAGAAGGAGATGAAGAGGGAGAAATAACATACGAGGTGTGATCAAAAAGTAAGGTGAATTTTGAAATTTAGCGGGCTACGTCCGTTCGATCTTCGACTTTTTTATTTGGTTATGTCGGTACACTCGAATAGAACATACGTTCCAAATTTCAGCTTTGTAGTATGTTTGGTTTGTTTGTGAGAGGCATCAAGGTTAGAAGTGTTTTGCGTGTTCCACGATTTGCTGCAGTCTAAAAACATGGATCAAAGAGTTTGCATTAAATTTTGTGTGAAAAATGGAATGAAATGTTCCAAAACACTTGAAATACTGAAAGTGGCATACGGTGAGTCTACTTTCAGCGAAAAAATGTTTACAAGTGGTATAAACTCTTCCAAGAAGGCCGAGAAGACACCGACGACGAACCTCGTTCTGGACGCCCCAGCACATCAACAACTGATGAGAATGTTGAAGGAGTGAAGAAAATAGTGTTGGAAAATCGTCGAATTACCATTAGAGAAATTACTGATGATATTGGCATCTCATTTGGTTCGTGCCAATCAATTTTGACGAGTGTTTTAGACATGAGACGTGTGTCAGCGAAGTTTGTTCCGAAATTGCTCAATTTCGACCAAAAGAAACGTCGCATGAGCATCGCCCAAGAGCTACTGAATGACGTCAACGATGATCCAGATTTACTCAACAGGGTTATAACAGGTGACGAAACATGGGTATACGGTTATGACGTCGAGACTAAGACTCAATCGTCCCAGTGGAGGCATTCTGGATCACCAAGACCAAAAAAAGCACGCCAAGTTCGATCAAATGTAAAGGTTTTGCTTACAGTTTTCTTTATCTGCAGGGGCGTGGTGCATCATGAGTTCTTGCCACAGGGTAGAACAGTAAATAAGGAATATTACCTGCAAGTTATGCGCAATTTGCGCGAAGCAATCCGCCAGAAACGTCCGAATTTGTGGAAAAATAAAAATTGGCTTTTGCACCATGATAACGCCCCTGCTCACACATCGTTATTTGTGCGCGAATTTTTGGCTAAAACAAACACAGTAACGATGCCACAGGCACCGTATTCCTCAGATCTGGCCCCCTGTGACTTCTTCTTGTTCCCAAAACTGAAGAGGCCCATGAAAGGACGGCGTTTTGCCACGATTGAGGAGATAAAGACGGCATCGAAGGATGAACTAAACAAGATCACAAAAAATGATTTTTTGAAATGCTTTGAGGATTGGAAAAAGCGTTGGCACAAGTGCATTATATCCGAGGGGGATTACTTTGAAGCAGATAAAATAAAAATTGATGAATAAATAAATATTTTTTGAGAAAAATAAAAATTCACCTTACTTTTTGATCACACCTCGTATATAGGAGCGAGAAGAATGTCAACGATAGACTATGTAGTAGGTAACGAGGAAGGTGATGAGGCGATAAAAAAGGTTCAAATAAAG